GTCCTTTGTTTTCCCATGAGCCTCTGCTCCACCAAATTTCATGTGATTTGGTCTGCTAGTTTTGTGCAAAGACGGACAAATGTTCATGTCTTTGCAAGAAAAAAGAGTTCATGACTACAGCTGCATATCAAAAAATCAATAAGCACTTTGTCTTTTCATAATCACTTTTCAAACATCGTGAGGCTAAGGAAGGATTTGAAAGAGAAATCCTTCCTTACGATGGCAAACATGATGTTCAGATTGTGGCTGCAGTTGTGTGATGGTGGTCTTTGTTGATGTGGCGCTGCTGTGGTTAGAACATGAACAGGAAGCCAATCGTAAATACTTCAGACTTGCTGTTTCATGTGAACTGAACAAACAGAACTTCAAGACTTAGAGTTTTATTGTCATTGTGCAGTTTCTTGCACAGCGAAATTGGGTAGCTGGAGCACAAAGGTGCAAAAGTAAAGAAGAGAAAATAAACAACGAGGGAAGAAAAAAGCAATATATATGTGAGTGAACTACATACATGCTGTATGCATAGAAACATAGAAACAGAAACATTGTGGGGCTGTATACAAGGGCAGTTATATAATATACTGTAATACATAAATAAGGGTGGAGGAGCTATGGTCATTTAGGGTGGAGATGGTGATTCCACTGAGACCTAAATATTACACATGCACCAGATAAATGTTGCACAGAACATGGAAAGACTGAGATACTGCACATCGTTGATCAACAGCAGCGTCAGGGTGGATGCGTTGGAGAAGTCTGTGCACACTCTTAGTTTGCATTAAGAGTTCTGACAGCTCACAGGAAGAAGCTGTTCTTTAGTCTCTTTGTTTTGCACCTGATGGATCTGAACCTTTTCCAGAGGGCAGGATGTTGTCGGGTGGTGGTTAGGGTGGAGGTGGTGCTTTATAACTGCTCTGGCTCTGGAGAGACATCTTGAGCTGGCAAGTCCAGGGAGGAGAGTGGAGAGCTGATCACCTTCTCTGCAGATCTGATGACCCTCTGTAGTCTTTTCTTGTCAGCTGTTGTGCAACCAGCGTACCACACAGGGATGGCGTGCACCAGCACAGCATGTGCAACCACATAGTCACCATCTATGGAGAGGGGAGGGGGATCAGTTCTTGTTTTGCAGAAGTCCATGACCACTTCCTTGGTTTTCTTGGTGTTTAGGGTGAGGTTATTGTAGTTACACCATTCTGCCAGCCGCTGGGCCTCATCCCTGCAGGCGGTGTCATCATCGTTGGTGATGAAGCACATCAGAGTGGTGTCGTCTGCAAAGTTGATGATGGTGTTGCAGGGGTGCTTGGGGGTGCAGTCACCAAAGATGATGCTTAAGAAAATATAGAATATAGTTAATCTTTCAGAAGTTGCTCACGCTGCTGCGACGATGATTTACTTTAACTTTAACTCCTAATTATCATCTGTGGCTGAAGTATAATTAATAAAAGATCATCAGAAAGAAAATGCAGAACAAATGCAATAATGGAGACGTAACCAAGTAAGTTAGAATAAAACCAGCACTTCATTTATTAAATGTTTACATGATAAAAAGTTTCACAGGAGGACAAAAACTGCCAAATCTAACAGGAACTTTGTTATTAAAGTAGTGAAACGTTCATAGTTCCCCTGCAGGCCAAACAAACCGCTCTTCTCTTCTGAGGCGTTGCTTTTGGTGCACTGAAGTCTCTGAAGTATTTGGACACTTTCATCTGATCTGAACTGAAACTGAAATTCGTGAGTGTAACAGAGCGAAGGTGATGTTT